GTTGGATTGTCTCCCCGGTACATTAGTATGGAGAGGAGGATATATATACTATACTAGAGTCCTAGCTATATATATATTTATTTATATATGGGTATTTACGAGTTGTTGAGAGTTGCATATATTTTGGGAAATGAGTTATGAGCTTGAGATGTGGAGATGTTTTGGACTTTGGGATTTCTGTGCTTGAGTTTTGGTTTCTGAATTGTGAAACTGCATGCTAGAGCATTATTTTTACATGGTGGGGTTACTATGTTGTTTTAAAGTGAAACTTTATTTCTGTCCACTCACATCTTTCTGTTTTGCGCCCCCCAGACAGTAGTTGCTCCTGAAGGCATTCGAGCAAGTCACGAGCTCCGAACTTGTCGTCTGTTAATAGGGTCTGTATAAATTCTTTCTACTCCCCTGTTTGTTGTAAACAAATTCTGTAGACGCTCTGTTATTGCCCATGTTAGGCTACTACTTGAGGCCGGAGGCCATTTTGGGTTGGATTGTAGTTTGTAAAAGCATGCTGGCAGTTGGGTTGTACATTGATGTAAATTATTGCAGGTTGTTTATTGTTGGTTTGAGCATTTTACAGGGGAGACTCTGCCAAAATTTTGGTAGATTGTCTTGGGTTTTAGTAAGTGGGCCCGGCATCAGTGTGATGTCGGCACCAAGACGGGGTCCGCCCCGGTTTCGGGGGAAATTCCGGGGCGGGTCCTGTCAATTATGGTACCCTTGACTGATTGTATGAAGCATAATCATTTCAAGTGGACTGAGACTACAGAGAAGAGCTTTCAAGCCATAAAAAAGCTATGACTAAAGGACCATTATTGATTCTGCCTGATTACCAAAAGGTTTTTGAGTAGATTGTGATGCATCCAAAGTTGGGATTGGAGCAGTTCTTAGCCAGGAGGGGAGACCATTTGCCTTCTTTAGATAAAAACTCAATGAAACCAGACAACGCTACTCCACTTATGATATTGAGTTTTATGCCATTATGCAATCTCTTAGACAATGGATGTAATATCTGATTCACAAGGAATTTATCCTTTACTCTGATCATGCCTTGAGATTTATCAATGGGCAACACAAACTAAATTAGAGACGTGCCAGATGGGTGGAAGAATTGCAGTAGTACAATTTTGTGATTAAACACAACGCTCGAATCCACAATAAAGTAGCGGATGGTTTAAGGTGCAAGGTGACCTTATTATCTGTCATGCAGGTTAGAGTGGAGGGCTTTAAGCAATTGCAGGAGTTATATAAAAGAGACAATGAATTTGGTGAAATCTGGTTCGAATGTGTGTGCACAATAATTCGATACAAGACTATCATATATTCACGATGTATATTTGTTCAAGGGGAGCAAATTATGCATTCCTGATTGCTCTTTACAGTTGTGGATAATTGAGGAGCTTCATGGGGGAGGCCTTGGAGGACACTTTGGACATGACAAAACAATTGATCTAGTTGAGAACAAATTTCATTGCCCAAAGTTGCGAAAGGATGTGGAGAGGAATGTACAACAGTGCATGACTTGCCACTTGGCCAAGAGTCATAGTCAGAACATGGGGCGTTACACTCCTTTGCTAGAACCACAAGCACCGTGGGAAGACATTAGCATGGATTTCATTGTTGGCCTTCTGAAGACAAAACAAGGATTTGATTAAGTCATGGTAGTTGTTGATCACTTTTTGAAGATGGCCCATTTCGTTCCTTGTAAAACAACCATGAACGCTAACAATATTGCTCATATTTATTTTCGGGAGATTGTCAAATTGCATGGGATTCATACTACAATTACATCTGATAGAGAATCATTTTAGTTGGGATGCCAATGACATGGTTGATTATATCAAGAAGGCCCATGAACATGTTAGCCTTTGACTTAAAGAGTACAGAGTACAAGGACAGTGCTGATAAACATAGGCGTTACAATGAGTTTTAAGAAGGGGATTTAGTATGGATCAACTTAAGAAATGAGAGATTTCCTCGTGGAAAATATGGTAAATTGCATGATAGAGGTGGTGGACTATACAAAATATTGAAACGGGCTGGTCAAAATGCTTATGTACTTGAATTGCCAAATGACATTGGTGTCTCACCTACATTAAACTTCACTGACTTACAAGCTTACTATGGTGAGAGTGAAGCCCCAAATTTTGATTCGAGGTCAAGTCCTTTCCAACCCGAGGAGTCTGATGCAAGAGCATCCTAAGCCAAATTAGGAAAGCCCAAGAGATCAGTCAAGCCTCCTAATTACTTCAAAGATTATTGCCCAAAATAAATTAGGAGACATTTCCTACTGCTGATTTACTTCCTTTTCTATTTTCCTCATGTTTTGGTTTTCCTGATTGTACTCGAATCATGTTTTCCTTATATTTCTAGGGTGTAATTGTTATTTAAACCTTTTCTTGTAGACCAATTGGTCACGTTAAATTTGAGAATATATTCAGAAAACGCAGCTAAGTTTAGCCGCAAATTGTGAGTGTTCATTCTATATTTTTAGTGTTGGTGTAGTTTCGTTGGAGGTTGTGTTTAAGATACCATCTCCCCATCAATCTCCCACATTTTGGGCCTTCGCCGTGAACAACGCTTTGAAGTGCTCTTCTATCACCCTTCTTGTAGCATATTGGCCCACATGCCACTGCCTATTGCTTCCTTCTATTATGAGGATTATGTTCTGCCTTCTCCTAGCAATGGTTGAGTTTGATAAAAGAAAGCGGTGTTCGCTGTCCTTGAGCCATTTTATCCTTGGCTTTTGAAGCCAATATTTTTCCTCTCTCTTGCCCATGCTTTGTTTATCAATTAGATAAAGAAAGGAGCTGAAGTTTCAGATAGAAGATGGCAAGGGCAGAGCTACATGTAATCTGCCGTGGACTATATAACCCAATGCAATTATGCAACCTTGGTCCAAAAATGTATTTTACGGTATAATATTTTAGGATTTTGCCATATAGAGCCCATCCATCTAGCTTTCAAATAAGTAGTTTCTTACAGCTAGCTAGTGACGGAGAAGTTATATTTTCCTAACTTAAATAATTGTTAATTGCATCTTTTGAAGGACAAAATTTCAAATTAGTTGTTCTTGGTGTGACTAATTTTTGTTTTCGCAGTTAACAAAATATTACCATCAATTTATGTCGGAGGAGTTGCTTGCAGGGAGAGAGGGGTAACAACAACGTTACCAATTTATTAAAAAACACAATAACCTATATGTGGTAAAATCCAAAACCATGGGAATTCTTCAATATACCAGATTTTTTATAATGCACAAAAATATATTATTTTTAATGTAGAGTTTCGGAATCCATAGAGACAGGTATCCATGTATTTTGTATGCATTTTATTTTTTCAACAGGATCTAATCTTTGAGTTTGTATCATTTCGTTATAAAATAATTGGGCCTTTATTAAATTTCCTCTTTTTAATTTTGAATTGAATTGGGAAAATTATTATTATTATTTTTTCAATACTTGGGCCTAACATAATATTTACTAGTATTATTTATATAATACAATTTTTTTTATAAAAATATAACATACGCATGTATATACAAATTGAGGGCCCTCCAAATATGAGGGCCTGTGCGGCCACTTTGACTGCTTGTGCCCAAAGCCTTCCCTATCTCTCTCCACTCATCCATGGCTGCTCAAAAGTTCAGTAGCAATTATAACAAAAAATCAGAAGAATGGCTATTGGTTCTTGATATATATAAAATCTAAGGTCTACAATTCAGCAGTAAATAGCCAAAACTTAAAGCTATAAAAGCAACCAAAGCACCCATGATGAAGCCATTTCTAAAAAAATTCAGAGATGAAAATTTTGAAAAATCACAAGAATGGCTATTTATATATGGTTCTTTCCCCTTCCTTGCCAGAAAAAAAAAAAAAAATTGTGGTTCATTCAAAAACTCGATGAAGTTTGTGGACAATTTAGATTTTTGTGTTTAATATCAAAATTGGGGTAAGATTTTTTTCACACGCAGAGATATCGAAAGCAATGTACTAAGAAAACCACACACAAAACGTAAACAGAAATATCTTAATGTCAATGTATTATTTCCACATTAACTTATGACTTGTTCAATCTTCACGAACGGTGAGGCTTAGAAACTTAGGCAAGTTTAGGAGAGAAGCCGGACCAATCCTTGATACAAATATACTTTCAGGCACATGAATGATGTAATAGTTGACGGATTAACCACATATTATCGTTACGAAATGTGGTCCTTCTAACATTACTCGTAAGAGACTTGATCAACTCTAGTGCAACTAACTCCTCGTTAATGCCTAACCAAGCATCAAGAAAGAAAAACAACCGAAGATCGATGCCATAAGGAGAGATCCTGACCGTGTCACTAACTAAATGATCCATTTTTTACGTACGTCATTCACTCCTTGTTGCCATGAAGTCATCTAGTATATATAAATCCCTCAAACACACACTTCATTTCACCGAGCTACTCTTTTCTTAAGAACAGTTGCCTTGAGGTCGTGGACCATATACAAACTACAACATTCTATCAAATTAGATACTAAGAATTAAGGTACAGTTAAGCCGGAATACCATGGCAGGTGGTGGCTTTGGGGCCGCATCGGGAGGCGGAGACTTTGAAGC